ATATCTGTAAAAAACAGTTAATTTAAATAAAATATCAAATAGCAACAATAATAAACAATAAAACATTAAAATATGTCAAGTTTTGATTGTTTATAACATGTTCAAAGATTATGATTCCAAAATGTTAGGTGTTTCCATTATTTTGTCCAACCCATGTATATATATACAGAGATTCCTTATAAACTTAAGAACTTAAAACTTATATTAAAATTTGATGTAATAACTATATTTTTATGGCAAGCTTATTCATATACCATAATAATAAAGTCATTTAATTAAATATTGAATGTAACTCTTTAAAGAGTATTGACATTTGCACTTTGATCAGCCTGTAGTGTGAGGGTTGATACAATAACTTTCCATAAAATTTTATCTAGGTTTAAAATTTGGGTTGATCATGAAGTCTGGCAGTTATCTTTGTGATTTTTGTTAGCTTAATTTTTCTGGTTTCATCATAGAGTTTACTCAGTTCATTCAGTATCACACTATTTTGATGGTGATAAGTTATATTTATAAACATGCTCAGAAAGAACTTACTATAGTGAAGTACTGTTCATTCATTTATTTAACAGCCACAGTTAGTATACATTTCAGGTATCTAGACAAGTCTTTTACCCAAGGAGCCAGTGGCTCCTTGACCAAAAATTTGGGGCATAAAATCTAGTTTTTGGGTGCAAACTTAATAGCAAGTTAACTGTCTCCAAATTCAGCTGCTTCAAAATATAAGAAAACTAACTGACATAAAAACAGGTTAGTACTCACCTTACCTCATTCTTCCTTAATGCTTTCTGACTGTGAGTTGCTCTGCTTTTCTTTTACTTTGTGTAAGCTGCTGTTCTGCAATATACCCATCCTTCTTCCTCTCCTCCTCATGCTGTTATTCCTCATTTCTGATGCTTTAAAATGAATTTGAAACAAATTGCTCATGTGCCTTTTGATAATGTTTCATAATCAGTCCTGCAGATTAATTAGAATTTATACAGCTATCAAATATTTCTTATTCATCAGAGTCTGAACCAGTGCCACCAAGAATTAATGTCTGCATAACTTGGCCAAGAAATGTAGTTTGATCTTTTTTTCTCCTTCTACTTGAACAAAGCCAGCATGTAAACAAGGCTTGGGTTAAACATTTTAAGTGAAGGGCCCTTTGCACTGACTCACAGGGTCACATTAAATGAGTTGCAGAAAATCCCCATTCATATTGGCAGCTGATCTTGATAGCACAAGAATGATTTCCACTGAATGTAGAAAATTTTTTAAATTTATGCCAAAAGGCTTTTTTGTTAGCATGACTTTCTATAAACCAGTGTAGTATTTATCCATCAGCTGACCATTGGCCAGTATTTTAAACATCATCTGTTCTGCTTGAACTGCATAAAACAGTGTATCCATTTATTTCTAAAAAGACACTATAATAACTCAATAAGACTTCTAACTGCTCATCTTCAAAGATAGCAAGATGATCAGGCCATGCATTATAGTAGAAAATTGAAAAACACTGTATCACTCTGGGTCTTCATGAAACCCCTTCTTTTGTAGCAAGCTTAATTATGTTGCTAAACCTGTACTCATTCCCCCTGACTGACTTCAACAGTTTTTTGAATTTGTGTATTTAAGTCATTTTTGAAAATGTCATGAGTTTAGGGAGTCTTAAGTTTAATGTCCTGAAATATAATGCTGGTAGCTCTGCCCCTCCTACTTTCTGTGACCCTGATGCTGTCACCTGCCTGGGGTTTGGAATCTACATGTTGCGAGAATTTCTCTAGGTTGCCATTTTTTTAATGCTTTTTATTTAGTCTTTTAATTTAGTCTCAGTTGCCACAATAGCTTAGAGAAAAGTTAAAGGCTGAGTGACACTGAAAAGAGATTATGTAAAAAAAAAGACAAAACTCTACAAAAGCAAGTTTTTCCATATATTGTGTAACATCCTTTGCTCTTCCTCTAATCTCTGTTTTTGAAGGATGCTCCATATGATGACACTAACGCTTTCCATTTGCAACATTCTCTTAATTACATGGCAACAAAACATCAAACCCAATAAATGTATGGTAGCTAGTGTCCTTACAATTAAAGGTATCCTTATTGTACAGTCAGTCTCAGTCCCAATGGCTTTTAATTCATATTTTGCAATCATTGGAACAAATTCTTCAGCACTTAACATTACCATTTCAAGAGAGCACCTACTCCTTCTGTAGCTCCCATAGCATTGGCACCATTCATTCCTAAAGCACTTAAGTTGTTTTGCCATCAATCTGAATATTCTTTGTTAACTGCTAGGAGATAAACTCATGCTTCATGTATAATGTATGTACTTAAATATTGTTTAGCAAAAATATGTAAAAAAATGGATATAGACAGGATTGCATACAAAGTGTGTTCTGTGCTATATGAAACCAAGCGTAAAGCATTTTTCACATATGCAGCATTATAAAATGGATTATTATATATATATGAGAAGGATATATGGTTTAAATAAATAAATCCTTTAAATATTACTGATGTTGTATTATATAGTTGGACATGAATGAAAGAAAAACCTACTAAGCAGACTATAGAGTTTTATTTTATATTTAAGGTAAAGAAGTGTAAAAACATATAATGATTATAAATGAAATATATCTCTGTACACAACATTTTTTATATAAAAACCTTGTGTTTCTGGATAGTCACCATCTTTGACTAAGATCTTGAGATTGATTCTTGATTGATTTCTCGATAAAACAACGTTATGGAATGGTAAATTTTTGAAATTATGGTATCAAGAAGTGTAAAAATCAACTTCGCGTACAAAGTGTATTTTAAACTTTAGGCCTAATTGTCAAATTTTAGGCACGTGTATTGAAATAGTTGGAACATATAATAGTTATAAAATAGTGAATTTTTAAAATTATAGTATCAAGAAGTGTAAAAATCAACTGTTGCCATGTTTTTTTTTTTTATTTATTGTGTGTATATATGTCTAAATTGCATTTGTATATCATCTGAAACCTGTAATTATTTTTTTTCGTGCAATGTGTTAGCTGTATAACATCAAAAGTGAATAAAGCATGGCAGTAACTATTAAGGCTAATTGACATAGATTATATAGAGGGTAAACTCATACTTTAATATTTTTTGTATGATGCGTATTTACACTTTAGGCCTAATTGTTGATTTTTAAATGACTGTTGGAATTTGTATTGATATGTAATGGTATTGTGTTATTTATAAGCCATAGAAAATTGAAGAATTAACCTCATGTGCTTCCTTTATGTTATTGAAGTAATTGTCTTTAAAGTTAGTGCTATAAGCATCTTAGTTTTGCACTCATATGAATGTTAAATTTTGTTCACTTCTGCACTCATATAAATGTAAAAATACCACTATACTATTAGCTAATAGGAATATAGAGTTTCCATGTGAGCTAGCATGCATACATTGCATGGACTGACTGATGCACATTGTTCTTTTAATTACATAGATTCCAAGCATATTCTCGGTTGTGTTTAAGATTTTTTGAGCACGACAGTGATCTAGTTCAGCTAAGCCTACTAGATGATTCACTACCACACCTGAAGAAACATACCTACAGTACAAAATTACATTATCTCTCCTAGCTATATCTATTTCACAATCAATTAAAACAGAAGTGCAGTTTGCATATCAACCCTTTTCTGCAACAAATTCAGCACATGAGTTATCATCATCATTTTTTTTTTATATACAACCAAACTATTCTTCTTAATCAGAACAATCTGCCATTTAAATTTAGTGAGTGGCAATTCTTTTAGTACAATCATATAAGTAGCACTGAATTTAATTTTTAATTCTCTGTAAGTGTTTTTGCATTGATTTAAGTAGCATGTACTATTACTCTGGCTGTCAATGTCTCGATTGGCCTACAGTTTCCTAACTCTGGCTGTCAATGTCTCGATTGGCCTACAATTTCCTAACTCTGGCTGTCAATGTCTCAATTGGCCTACAGATTCCTAACTCTGGCTGTCAGTGTCTCGATTGGCCTACAGTTTCCTATGATGCACTCCTTAATATTTTTATGCCTTCTGCTTACATCGTGCTATTTCACAGTCTCTTTTTGAAAATGGTCTGTCCCAGAAATAAAATAAATTTTTCCTGTAACAGCTGGCCCAGCCTTTATTTAAAACTTACATTTCCTGTTTTTCATCATAAATAGTAATATAACCAGGCAAATTCTTGAAGCCACAAAGTCTTAAACTGCCATACAAGTTTTTTTGGTGGTAGTACCTTGTCAGGGAGGCTGCTGCATAATTACCAGTAAATCATCATCAAGATGTACAGAGTCCATATCTGTGGGTCATGCAGGTTCTACTAAGTGCAGCAGTCACACTAGAGAAACATTCTGACATTTTTCTGTTTGACATTACTTGGAATAAGGCTCGTTACTACAGTATATCAGCAAAGTTTGCACTGGTGTATTGGAGATGGCACAATTCATACTTTTCTTCATTTTGGTATGGTGAATATTCTTCTTTTAATCAATCAATAAAAGCCCTATAACTCGAGCTCTTTCAAAAGGTGGACCTTTCTTCTTCAGGGGCAAACTGGGAATAGTGGTGTAATCAAATGAGTGATATATATAAAGGGAGTTTACTGACATCATGAAGGTCATCCGGTTTTCCAGGAAATGTTTAGTCTATTTCTCTGTGTACTGTTGTAAGCATCTCATTTCTGGTACAATTTGGCCGATGGCGAGAGTGTATGTGAAAAGGTGTTAGGGATATTTTACTTTAGAAATGGATAAATATATGTATATTTAAAACTATACTTAAGTGTTTAAGTAAAATAAAGGTGACACCTGGAGGCTGATTAAAAAAGATATGTTATGCTAATCAATTTATTAAAACAGGTATGAAAAATTATCTTAAATAAATAGTAAGTTTAGGAAATTCAGCTTTCATATTACATGAAAAAATTAAGCAAAGAATGAAAATTATTTTTCTGACAGGGATGAAACTAATGAACAGAGATCACTGATTCCAAGATCTAGATTAATTTGGAAAGGTTGAACAGTGTTTAGATTAGCAATCCAATAAGTTTCTTTTATTTTTTTTATCTACTTTAGTTTTGAATCCTGTTTCAATGCCGATTGAGTAATAGAGGTATTATTGTGAGAGACGTTGGTAGCTTCTGAGATAGGGAGAAATGTAGAATTTTGACAGGGAAGGGTAGAAGAACTACAAGAAGTAGAAATAGGAGATGATTGGGGTAACTTAGAACAGGAAGACGAGTGGGAGAATGTGTCAGGAAATAAAGTACTTGAAGTTTAAAGCCAGGGTAAAAATACCAGAAAAGTTGAGGTGAAGTCATCTCGTGCAAGAAAATTAGTGAGTGGTATTAGGTTTGTGTGGTTGATGAAAGCAAGTTGGGGGTTAATTTTAAATAGGTGTTTGGTTGATTCATTAAAATGTTGAATTTTGTTATGAGTTGTTTAATTATTGTACTGTTTTGTGTGTTGCAATCAGTGGAAGTGTATCTGTTCATATATCTATATATTACACTAGAGATAGCCAGTTTAATGTGTGGTCTGAGGCTGAAGATATGTGCTATTGTGTTTTCAAGTTCTGAGAAACAGTCTTCAGCAGTCTTATCGGATTGTTTTAATCTTTCTTTGAGACACATTTTGAAAAAACATGTTACAAGTTCAAACACATTTATAAAGAACTAATACTCATTGATGCTATCATCATGTCACTGTAAATTAAGAAGAAATTTATCTTTTCTGTTCTTATCTTTTTGTGAAATTTCATTTCTTTTGCTTTCAACAGGTCTTCTCATACATTATAGTAATTTAAAACATGCACATCCACACACTGACACGTAGGAGATCAATGCTCTTGCTTGTTTTTATAAAAGGAGAGGCACTGTTTTTGTGTTATATGTGCCAGTGCTAACTAACCACAAAAAACTGGTGAAAAAATATTTTTAGAGGCATATGCATTTTACTAGATTTTACTTGATCACTACACTTTGGATTTTTATTGTAACTGATTAATCTCTATCTCTTCAGTATTCTTCAAAGCAACTTAGATCAAGTTTGTATAGATCCTGTTAATGTTTAGAAACAATAAATTAAACAGTGAGTGGTAAACATGCTGAATTTGTATTATTGCATGTTTATATTTATTCTATAGATACTTCCATCACTTTATGTTGGTTTTGTTGCCATAGCTACTAAAATAATTTATGTATAGAATTTTTTTATGTATTCTCATTCACAAGCTCAGACAGAACAAGATAAAAGTAAGTCAGTTATAGTGTGTGTGAATTATTCAATAGAGTGAAAATGTCTATAGCTTAAGATAATTTTGTAATTATGCAAAATTAGAATTTTTGTAAAACTTCAGTGTTTTTAACCCTCATGTGGACAACCATGGTTTTAAGGAAATCATCATTGCAATTATTACAGTGAATAAAGGCTGTTTTTTAAACAACATGAATTGTATACATAAGGAAACACTAGATCAGAATTAGATTCACCAGAATGGTTTCACAAAATGAAACTTACTAGAATTACTGAAGTTTTCATTATTTATTTTTTAAGCTGTAATTGTAATACCTAGGCCATGGCAAGATCAAAACCACAGAGAGATGTTCTGGTACTTAATGATAAACCAGAAGTAGAAGAGGAAGAAGAAGAAGAAGATGATCAGCCCACATGTGAAAAAATGCTTCCCGTTCATGGCAGTAAACCAAAAGTGTCAGAATGTAACCCTGAATCAGAAAACGAGAAGACTAAAGAAGTCATTAAATCTCAACTAGTTGCAGTTGCTCATGAAACCAAAAAAGATAAAACTAGAACAGACAAAAAAAGAGTTCTTGGTAAGCATAACACATAAAGCAGAGAGATATAAAAGCTTATCTTAATTACTTTTTAATTACTTCTCTAATGTGTTTCAACCCACACTTTTATAATACTTGTTTTATTGCAAACTGTTGTTAGGATGTATATAATGCCAGATTGAATGAGTTTCTTAAGCAGCCAGATTCCTCCACAAATAGAGCTGATTTCTCAGTTACAGAAATAAGTATAAGTACTAGAATCTATTGAGTTGATTTTTATCACAAAGATCTCTTGTAATTTGTTTATACAAAATAGTTCAAAAAACAATATTTCTTTATTAATGCAAAAACCATGATTTTAACGTAACTTGATTATTAGCTTTACAAGTTTCAAATATATGTTACGCAAAGAGCTAATTTCATAGAGGAGAGCATGAGGTTCACCACAATGAAACACCCATCTCACAGCTAGGTGCTAGCTCATTCTTTGATGAATCAACCATTGTGCACTGAACAATGGTTGTACATGGATTGTGCATTTTGGCCAGGCATGGTGCCTTGTTTCTTTTTCATGTGTAAGCATTAAGAAATATCTGCTCACACTCCAGATAATTCATGAATGGGTTGAAGACAGGGTTTGCAACAGTACCAGGTTTCCAGTACCGGTACTCGAGCATCTCTAATCATGTGACTTGAACAGTTAAAAATTCATCTATTCTTCCCAGTGTGTTCTTGTGGGATTTTTTTTCACATCAAATCTATTTGTCAATTATATGTAAGCCCACATGGTACGATCACTTTGGAAATGAATCAATTGAAACCTAGGCTTTCTAATGGTTATAAATTTAATGGGAGTCAACCTCAGAAAAATCTATTGGCAAATTGTAAATTGGAGCATGTCAGAGGTAGGCATGGAAAGTAACATAACATGGAACTCGTAAAGTATTTCACAGTTGCTGAAAGCAGTTCAAGGTGTTATGTATTGTCCAGTTCAATTTTACATTGACCTCAAACCATATCTCAAGTATTAAATGAATGGATGCTTTCACAATATTAAGACCGTTGCCTTTTTGTGGCAAAGGAAAGACATTGATGTATTCTACTACATTCAGAAAAGTACTTGCAGTTCCTTCCTTTGTCCTTACATTAATTGCTGGAGATGACCAAGTACATTCTGGTTGTTGTATTATTTTATTCTTCAACATCCACTTGATTTCAGTTCTGCAACACCTCTATGCCCCTAAAGAGGCCTGAGTAGTGGTTATTTTATCAGACTTGTTGCTTATGTATGTATAATAGCATGTTACTATTATTCTACGCAGAAAGCCATCCTGTCCCACAAACACATCAATAAACTCTGTGTTAGTTCAGTTTCGCCCTCAACATTGACATCATAGTTGGAGAATCTGTGCATTTTGTTTCAGAAAACGTACAGTTGAAGCAATTTTGCTTATGTGGCTGAGTCACTTCTGCTTCTGTTACCTTGTTATTGACCATTCCAACTAAAAGCTGAATAGTGAATGTTCATATTTACAGATCAACACTGGCAGCACTGGGAAAGCTGTCTGCTCAAGCAAATACGCTAAAAATTCTCCAAGCTGAAACTTTTGTTATAATAGATAGAAAGCTATAATTCTGTTACAATAGAATAATTTCAATATTTCAAAATACTTTAAGAGATAGAAAGCTATAATTCTGTTACAATAGAGTAATTTCAATATTTTCCTTAAAATATATTGAAATATTGAAATTACTCTATTGTAACAGAATTATAGCTTTCTATCTCTTAAAATATATTGAAATATTGAAATTACTCTATTGTAACAGAATTATAGCTTTCTATCTCTTAAAATATATTGAAATATTGAAATTATTCTATTGTAATAGAATTATAGCTTTCTATCTTTTAAAGTATTTTGAAATATTGAAATTACTCTATTGTAACAGAATTATAGCTATCTATCTTGGAATGCATTTAGTTCTAATTTCAGAAAGATTTTGAAATAGTATCACATAGCAGATTGGTAACAAACATTACTTTGGTAAGAGTAAGAGATAAATAGAGTAGTGATTTGCTGGGAAGCAGAAAGTTGTTACTAATGGAGTTTAGTCTCTTGGGACTCATAAGTGGTGTTCATGCTTTTGGGATCTGTGTAGCGAGCTTGTTATTCCTCATTTACATTAATAACATTGATAGGGGCATAGTTGATTAATTGATTAAGTTTGCTGATGATATAAAAGTCTTTGGTCTAGCTGATTGTAATGAGGATGCTATGATTTTACAGAAAGACTTAGGTTAGTTTGTTAGCTGGACAAACATATTGTAAATGGTATGTAATTATGATAAATGTGAGGTTTTGCATGTGGGTTGTCGTAATATAAATTACATGTTTACTTTGGTTGGAATCCTCTTAATTATATGGATGAAAAAAAGGATCTTGGGGTATCAGTTAATACAACTTTCAAGCCCTTAAGACTGTTCTGTTGCAAGTTTTAAAGCTAACAGAATTTTGGGTTGTATGTATACATATTGATTATTGATTACAAGTTTAAAGAAGCCATGGTTTTGTTGTGTAAGTCACTAGTTAGGTTGCTTTTGAAGTGCTAGATCTCTTTGTCTTAGGAAGAACATTAAGCTTTTGAAGAAGGCTCAGAAAAGGGCTACTAGGATTTTTGACATGAATGGATATATTTTCATGAGGATGAGATGTTTTAACTTGTTCTCTCTTGAAAAGAGAAGGGTCAAGGGTGATTTAATTGAAGTATTCAAAAATATTAGGGGAATTGGTGATACATCAGATTTTTCTTAGTGAATTCTGAGTGTAATAAGACAAGAAATTTTAAATTTATGACTGAAAGATCAGATGCATCCCCAATTGAAGCAGTTTTATTTTTCCAATAGAATGTTAAATTTAGGGAACAAATTGTCTCCCAGAATAGTATAGGCTACAGCTTTTACAGGAATTTAGGAAAAAGGTTGATGAATATTAGGGAGATCAGGGCTGGGTTTAGTGCATAATTTGCTGTTTGTTGAAGAAGGTTGAGAGCCAGGACATCCTTACTGGCCAAAAGGCCCCTTGATGTCTCCCAACTTGTAATAACTTTATAACACAAAACTAAAAAAAAAAAAATTTCTTTTCAACCTAAAGTTGACCTGAATAATCAACTATTTAAATGAAAGATTTTGCATACTTGCTATGCTACAAGTATGTTTAAAAAGTTAATTGAAATATCTTTTTTGGTAGAGTAGAGGTTCTGGTACCTTATGCTTATTCATTTATGCAAATAAGAAGAAACTAATTAGTTATTTTGATGAAAAATCATAACAATAAGCTTTTCCTTTTGAGAGCTTTTAATGAATATTTATGACAAGGATTGTTTGTATTTATTTACCAAATAAGCTTGTACGTATTACTTTGTTGCAATTTGCTGATTTTATTAGATGAATTATGAGGTAGTCTACAGGCTTGTCAAATTTGGTACTAAAATGATTATGATTTCAGAGATATTTGTTTCATGTCTTGAGATTTAAGTTAATAAAACTTGAATAAAAAATCGTAAGTATTTGGTTGCAATCACACTCTTTTGAGTAGTAGATTTTGACAGACATTAACAAAATGTATGGAAGTTCAATAATCAAATATCATCAACTTGGTTTAGAAAATTAATCAATCTTGTAAAAACAATATTGATTACTTACAAAACTTCTTGACTGTAAATATTTTTTGAACTAAATATCCACCAGAAAGGGGCATAATGTACATAGTATAGTACGGTGTTTCTATAAATATTTAAATATAGGTTGTAGTTCAAAAGCTTAATAGACTTTCTGACTGTATTAATTCTTATTTACAACAGTCATACTTTACTTTTGATACAAACTGTCATAGAAAGGGCTATATGAATGATTTTTATTTTGGGAAATTATTTCTGTGTGTGTTAAGTTATCATGGAAGAAAGTAATTTTGTTATCTTTGTAGGACCACAATTGCCACCTTCATGTTCTACTGTTTTAAACATCCAGTCTAAAATACCAGATCATCCCACAGGTACAGAACAAGATTCTCCTGGTGAAGAGGTAAGTACAACTACTTCTCATCCAAGCTATCTGATTGTTATGTTTTAGGGATGATTGTTACTTTTCAACATCAGTATCAGCAGTATATTATTTGGACATCGTCACGTTCTGTTTGGTGAGCTATGCAGAGCATGTCCAGACTTCTTATTTCTACCTTTTGCTGACAGCTAGGTTGTTCAGGTGTACACTAAAAACTACAACCAATAATGTTTTATTACTAACTTAATTATTTTTATTTGGAAATGTTATGATAGTGCCATTCAAATCAGGTAGACTACCTATGAAATACAAAAAAAAACTTTTTTTGTTGAGTTTGCTCTCATGCTATCAAAAACCTTGTGACTGGTTTCGAATATCCATGACACAATGCAGAGAATGTGTCAACTTCAGAGTTTTCCACACTTTCACTTTCCATGTGACTGCACATGCATGAAAAGAAATAACATAAGCTCTGTTTTCCCACCATAAGTCAGATTTATTTATTGGCAGTTGTATTTGTTAATTTCACTCATTGTGAATTCTAAAGACAATATTAATCACTGCTGCAGATGTTTCTACTAATCTCAGAAATTTTTCAATTTCATTGGAGACCTTTTATCCATATAATTATCCTCTAGCATGTAGGGAGATCCCTTAGCTGTATTGTCAACCCTTATTGATCAATATTTTCAGGTTGTTATTTTAGGGGAAGTTAAGCAAAGTTGACTTAATAGGTTTGAGAACGTTAATGGACTGCAACTGGCTGTTGAAATTTTAAAAGATGACATTATGACTCTATACTGAAGCCTTCTGCGGGTGAAGAAGGTCTCAGTATAAAAGCTTAAATGTTGTCTCTTTTTTTCTTCCAACAGGCAGTTGCAGTACATCAAATGTTCAGGCTATTACTTCTGTATTGTCTGCTGGTATCCCTGGCAGGTTTCATGTTCATGTGGATGCTCAACTGGTGAACATTTTCCCTTTTCTTGTAATGATAATAAAAAAATCTTTTGTTTAGGCCTTTTCATCTTCATTGTCTGATCAGGTTGCTCCAATTTCTCTTTTTTCTCAGGTACATTCTATCTTAAATTAATTTCTGTTTTACTTAAGGTATTAATACCACAATGGACAATTAAGTTCATGAATCTTTATATTTTCCACCTGCTAATTTTTGGATTGTAGCTGATGGTTTTAGTAATCAACTGGTTGTTAATAATTTTTTAGCAGGGTTATCTTCCTTTTACTCATCTTATCCACTCAGTGACTCTGCTGTTATGGATGGTTCCCCAGTGGGACAGTGGTAAATTTATCAACTTACAATGTTGAAATCCAGTGTCTGATTCCCAGCAGTGGACACAGCAGATAGCCCAATGTGGCTTTTCTCTAAAACAAACAAGTGACCAACTTCATGGATGAATTTTCCATCTAAACTTTTATTGAGATGGGTGTCTTGGATCATTGGTTAATTTGTGGGAGTCTTGTGTTCAACAGATGTTTCAGTTTGGTGTTAATATATTTTCCTCTTCCTTTTAATCCAGTCATTTACAAAGTCTGGATCAGGAAGTCTCAAATCTTCAGAAAGGAGCAATCAGAATCATTTTTAATTTTCGTACAAGTTTTTAATCTCACCTCTTTGTGTTTTTTTAAAGAAATCAGGAGATGGGAGACCTGCCATAAACCTGTCTCAGAGTTTTATTTGCCTAGAGATACCTCATTTTCAGATGAAAAACATAAGACTGTTACGATTGTTACTTTGTTTTGGCCTATTCATCCATCATCTCCTTTTCACCACTGGAGGATAGTTTAACAGTTCACTAAGCTTTCCTTTGGCTCCATACATTTTCTGTCGAGTAGTCTAATTTTTGCCGGTTGGACAATTGACTTATTTTTTTTACCCTTTCATATATTCAGCCTCTTATACACATTTATTTGATCACCCAACTGGCTACATCTTTTACGTAGATCATCCATAACCCCAGTATTGATTTAGAACCAACACAGTATTTGGTATATCTTGTAATCACACACAAATGTTTATCTTTCTGTTTATTACTTGGTCTGTCTAATATAATTCTAAACAGTGAATAATACTTCAGGTAGTAGATTGAAGTAAGTATTTCTATATTACACAAGAAAAGTAATGTAAACGTTATGGATCAATGACTAAAGAAAGGTTTTGGTTTTATGTAGAACAAGCTGGGTAAAGCAGATTGTATTAACAAAGTTTTTACTTTTAAATGTCTGATGAAAAATATTTTATCAAACAGAAAAGTGCATTTATTAAATTCAATATCGACATCTGACACTAACACATTGGTGTTGTGGAATTGGTTAATTATGAATGGTATCAATGATAAGATATTATTTTTTCCACAATGCTGTATAAAAATATAAAATCCTGGTTAAAAATTAAAAGTAGGTTAATACCATTTTTTGATTGCAAAATGATGAACATGTAAAGATGTATGATACCTAATTTTGAGTAATTTGATTTGGCAACTAAACAGGGATGATTTAGGCATTTGTGTAAATGATAACAGCATTTTATCATTCTTAATGTATAGTGTTATGTAGTAACAATATTATTGAATTATAAAGAATGTAACAAATTTTTATTGTAACATTGACAAATCTAAATAATACTGTTTTTAGGGAGGAAAAAAGATAATTAAATGTGGAAACAAGTAAAGAAAACAGTATAATTTGTGTCAGTGCGTATATGAATAGAAATAGTACTAATAGCTATTGTCAAAATACAAAATACCTGTCAGTACAAACAGAAAATAAATTGGCGAAATACTATTTAATGGATCATCTTATGAAATTATTTGTGAAATATTTTATATTTCAGCTGTGACTGTTTTAAATTATGAAGATAAACTCTGAAATAGATATAAGCAGTTTAAGTCAAGTTTAGATCCTGAAAAATATTTACTAATAAATTTTCTCAAGTGCTACAAATTTGTATTCTCTAAATTCTGTACCTTTTATTGCAGTTTAGAATGTAAAACCAAGTTATTCAACAAGAAATATGTTTTGAAAGATGGTATAGAAATTGTTTAATCAGGAAACAGCTTTGTTTATTACACGAAGTAAATGACTTTTTGTGTACCCGTTAGTCAAAGAACTGAGAAATGAAATTATTTAAAAAAGTTAATTAAAAGGGAAAACAATATATTTTGAAGCAGTTAACTTTATTTATAGTCACTATATTACATGTACAATCAGAGTAATAGTACAAAATGATGAATTATTGTGTATAATGTAGATTATGTACAATATAGATTAATAAGCCAGTGGCTTTCATTTGTCTTGAAAGTAAATAAATTGAATAACATTTGTTAATTATTTCTTTTCATTTAAATTACTTAAATTCTGTCATTATTATTCTATATATCAAATTGAAAGGAAAATCTATTGTTCTTTCATTTTTGTTTACAAAAGACAAGTAATCAATTACCTTTATTACTATTGATATGAAAGAATATCTGGCATGAAATATTATGTTTGATAGTTTAAATATATTAATATTATTTTTTCCAGAAATATGTGTATGATGAGAATGACTCGAACTACAGTATCTGGGTGCCACCTTCAGGTAAGTTACTACAACTTTGATTGTTATCATAACTTTTTTAAAAATTAGTGTAAAAGTTTCAGTGTTTATGTTCTCAAGAGATTATTAGGTTTAAATGTAGTTCCTTTAAAGCTAATTTAATGCTGCCTTAGGAATGTCATAAAGTTTCATATAAATGCTTTAGGTTTCATTCTTGTCATTGTGCTGAATAACTTTTCAAATTGCTTTCAGTCGGTAATATTTAAAAGTTGTTTTATTTATGTTGTTTTTTCTCAGAACTTCTTAAAATGTCTAAAGTGCTTTTATTACATGATGATTGACGAGATGCTGTTGAAACAAATGCTCTTGGCTGGACAATTTCAAATTTTTTTAAGTAATTAGAAATTAAAAACTGTTTTTGTTATGTATAAAAAAATAAAATGGAAGAACTCAAGTAGGTGTTAAGAAGTTATTTATCAGTGGTTGAAAAAAAGAATTTTTTAGTCTGTACTCTGGAGATGAAAATTATTCAGGAACTGCAGTTTTCTTTTACCTTTTTTTATGTAGAAACTATTATTTGTCAGATCAATGCAAGTACATACAAAAATAATTTGTAATATGTAGGGGGTGGAATGCACCAGTAATGACTTATTCAGACAAAGAAGATCTGAGAATAAGAAATAATGTATGCTTAACACCATTATATTATTCTGATACTTTAGAAATATTATCATTGTAAATATTGTTATCTCTTTGTGTCCATAGTTGTAGGTTTTTTGTGAGAACTTTACATTTTATAACCAATTTGTGTTGGTTTGTAAAATTATGAATTTCAAATATTTCAACAGGTGCATGTAGAGAATGAACTTTGTTTACTGTATGCAAAACATGTGAATTGCTAAAATGTATAAAATTTGCTGATTAGTTGTTTGTTATAAATTATTATCAGTTCTGGAGTGTTAATTTTGAAAAATTAGCAAAGATAATTTTGTAAAAACATTTCTAGAGACATCTAAGGTTTTATTGGTAGGACTATGCTTTGCTCCGACCAATCTTTTTTTTCTTTTGAAGGTTTCCGTATATTTTGCCTGTTTCACTTTTCACAAAAGTAGAAATATCTGATAAATCATTAGAAGTAAAGTAATTTCAATCTTTTTTTTTTTAGGAACAAATTAAAAATAAAATTTGTAAAATTAAATAAGATTGATGAAAAGCAAAATATTTTTAGATAAAGAATCTTAACTTATATATCTTCCTTATCCAGAAAATTCTAGGATGTTCTGCTAAAAAGTCTTAAAGATATGATTTTTTTACTAGCGGTTAAAATAGTGCCTGTGGATGAGAAATGTAATTGAACTAAGATGCCATCCTGGCACTTTTGTTTTGTGTACCCCAGGTTTCGTTTTATGATTTTCATTATGAATTACTAATTAACTAAAAATAACAAATGTTTGATTTTTACACAGACAGATAAAATATTGAGAGAACATTGAATAGAGAAATAATCCTTGCATACATTTTAATTAAAATTTTGCTTGTTGTGATGTTGTTCCAGATTTTTTTGCTAAGCCTTGTAATTTTAGCATTTTTTTTTATCAGTGACTACACCTGTTGAGAATTTAGAGCAATTATATTTCTTCTATGCTTTTATTCTTCATGTCAATGATATTTTTGAGACCATCTGAACACTGTATAGCATATACATATTTATCATTTTTAATTGCACTGTGTATAATACATGTTTGTATCATAGAATATTACAGTACACAAACACATTTTTTTTTCTGAAGGCTCTGTATTATAACATAGCAATCATAAAATCAACAAAAAACATTTACACACTTTAAGTGAAATTAGAAAAATTATTCACAATAAAAGGCGAATTTTAGAAAAATTTTAATTATTAAAAAACCTTTCAAATTATCTTCATAGCATAGTTTAAGGCACTGTAAAATTTATTGAAATAATATAACTTCTGAGACTTCTCTTATCAATTAATGTAAGTGCTTCGGATATTTTTTGGTTGTATATTTGTACAATTTCTGCCTCATAAATAGGAGAGGCAACATGCATGTTAGTTATCAGAATTACTTGTCATATCATGACTATGCTGTTTTTTGTATTCTTTTTTTCATGTGTAGGTAGAAAATTTTGGATTACAAATAATATCAGTCAGGCAATAAAAACTGCAAAGATAGCTTAAAGTGTGCTAGAAAAATAAAGAAACTTGGTGATTATCTGTTGTAATACTTGTATGTTATATAGAAACTAGATATTCATCATTTTAAAATGATACAGGTAAAATGTTTCATTTTCATGTGCTTGAATACTTACAATGTGGGTTTCTAAGCTTTTCTCAAATATGCAAATACTTTTCTGATTTTAATTTTTTTCAAGTTTTTAATTTCTTGCTTATTGGCTAGTCTAAAACACATTAGAGCTGTGAATAACTATGTACTATTTATGTTTTCATCCTTTAAGCTATGTCCCTGAAAGTTGAAAAGTGAACAAGTTTTTATAACTTTTCTTATTTTATTTGATGCATATTTATACATTTCTAATCATTTTATTAAAACGTTCCTCAACTTTCTGTGGCACAGTTGTGTTAATTTATAAACTAAACTCTAGGCTTTTTGTTGTTAACTCACAAGACTATAGTAACTAGTTTGCTATAATAGCAAACTAGTTACTATAGTCTTGTGAGTTAACAACAAAAATCCTACAGGTAAATTACCTGCAGGCTTTTTGTTGTTAACTCACAAGACTATAGTAACTAGTTTGCTATATTACCTCAAAAAATAATAATAAAACTGTTATTTTATGTTTGGCTCTAATTGTATTTATGCTTTTTTTTTTCAGATCAAACTGGAGATGGAAAAACTCATCTGAATGCAAAATTTGGTTATTAAAAGAAAATGTTAATTAAAACAAGTTATGTTTCAGCTCTCTGTTACTTTCAATATTTGTATACTGAAGAGATGCAAAAATGTACAAATAAGAGATTTTGGGAACATACAAATCTAAAAACTCAAGTTTCTGTGTTTTGAAATATAACAAGTAATGATAGCGATTAAAATCTGTAAAAGAACAATTACAATGTTTTTTAAGTATCATTCACTGATTACTTATACAAAATATTTTTTACATTATTATTATAGGCCGTTTCAACCTCATAGCAACACCAGATAAGACTGTCACAAATTGAATTGGTAAAAGTCCTTTTAAAACAGATGGAACTTTTTTTTTTTTTGCAGTGATGCTACTGGGTGTCTTATGCTCACTGCTTAAGTATAAGATACTTGAAGAGCTTAACTTACATCATTATAGCATACAGAAGTTAACAACAAGTAGATTAGTGGGAAGTATGAATATTTATTGTGTGAAGAATAAGATAACAGTTAATCTATCTAAATTTAAAATTTCTTAATTTTACAAAAGCAAATGAAGCATCAACAAATTAACTAAAGTTATGACTATAAATAAAAAAAAAGAACTGAGACATTTATGAAGCATTAATCGTGCAATTGTTAGTAATAGATATATGCCAAGTGTGTGATTTACAAGGACTTACTCATATGGTTCTAAAAATAATAATTAGCTATTTTGGCATCATATTACTTTTAACAAACAACTTAGTAACATCTTTTACCAGATAAGTCTAATTATATATAAACTTCTACATGATATACTTATGAATAAGTTGTTTTACAGTAAAATAAGTGTTAGTCACAACACTAACTTTTGACTATTGAACATTTATGTTAATTCATCACATTTAAGGATAGTAGTGACTGACGTTGGAGAATTAAACCAATACATGTATATTTGAAATTAGCATTAGCTTTATGCAACATGTAAAGACTGAAGTGTTTTTTTAGTAATACTTTTTAATTAAAATTCAGCAGTTAATATTTGCTACATTTTAATTTGAAGGTGACAAAACTACACCAGACAGTTGTTTCTTTACCTCCATTTGTAAAATTAATGTATTGTTATTATATTAATATTTAATAATTTACATTTAATTAACCAAGTTCTAAACAATCATTAATGATATGCCACAGTGCAAGTTTCAGTAATTTTAATTTAGTACTTAAGAGTAACTTAAGTAAAACTTAGTTTAGCTATATCCTAATTCTAAAAGTCACTTGTTTGAGCATTTACTTGTATTCCACAAATGTGTAATTTTAAATTATTAGGAAACTATCATCACATGGTAGGTCAGTCGTAAGTGTGAGGATTTTTAATGCTGAAATCTGTGGTTCAGCTCTCTGCAGTATATGGACTAAATTAATCTATGAGACCTTTATTTTCCTTTTTATTAGCTATATTTTTGTGTGCAGCAATACCAAGCTAGGGCGTGTGTATACCAGATTAAATTTTATTACTCATCAGGATCTCTACCAGCCTACCTCAAATTGAAATTCTTTTAGGCAGGATAAGAGTAGATTAGTCTATAAGACCTTGGCATGGTCAAATATATCAATCAAAAGGGTTTGACCTCCTGAGTCCAAACCTGTAATTAGATCTCAAATTGATCAAGAGATGACAGAACTATGAGCTAAAAGTTTGTAGTTGAAGAAAAAAAAAAGAAACAACAAAAAAAACTAAGAGCCACTAAGCTGCAGCTAAAAATAAATTAAACACTGATAAACGTGAGATTTTAGCAGCCAGGCGTGAGAGCGTGATCTGTGTTCGAACTTCGTGAGCGTCACGTAATATACATGAGAGTTGACAAGTATGATTCCAGGATTTGATTCTTCAGGTGGCCAGAGTGTAGATAGCATACAGAAAACAATAATAGCATTGTATCTATTTCTACTTGTGGGATACTTACCATAAACAAAAGTTTTAAATTAAATCTTCCAGAGATGTCTGGTATGTATAATTTTGTATTTAAAAATTCAGTACAATTATTGTACCAATTGACAGAAAGTTTGTATCCCCAAGTGTGTTTATTTCCCACAATATCACACAGAAAAAGCACGCTAATTTTTCCACAGGTAGGTAAAATTCTTTAGTGTAAGACTTAAAAGTCTAAGAGATAGAGTGCTAGTAGAGATACATTGTGTCATAACCAGTGCCCAACACATTATAATACAAGTAAAGAAAAATAAGCCTTCCAAAGAAGTAAGTAAATTAATGTAGGGATTGCTAATATCAATCCTTCAAAAAGAATGCAAACAAGATAGTAGGGATGGCATTTTCATCATCCCTACATAATAACACAGGCACACAGTGTAATTGAATGTTAACATATTAATATAGGATAAATTCAGTTCAACTGTGATTGAATAGTTATATATATATTGTTATATGTTAATTCTTGCCTGTTCTATTATGTAAGGTGATGCAAATTCCATCCCTACTATCTTCTTTGCATTATTTTTGAAATTGAAGGATTGATATTAGCCATCCTTATATTTACATACTTTTTTGAAAGTTTATTTCTTTACTTGTTGTCTTTTAATGCAGTGTTTGAATAGACGTAGGAATATTGTACTTATAACCAAGTTCTAAATACAATGACGTTTCAACTGTAATGTTGATTGTTTATCTATTATAATTATTGGCTGTAAGAAAGCTAACTTCAAGGGGTAATGATAACATGGTTTACACTAGAATTATAATTTTTAAAATTACTACTAGTTAATACTTATAAAAGCGGATACTCTGCTCGAAACTATGTCACCTCGTTGAAATTGGTTGACACCATTGATTTGTTTTTTGTATTATCTTGTAATAAAAAAGAAGAAGAACAAGAAATTAAAACTTTTTTTTTTCTATGACATTTACAGACATTTCCAGAACTTGTGACACATTCATTACCTAGATATTTTTATAAAAGGATACATTGTACAGTATTGTAAAGTTCTGATGGCCTATTGAAGAGATATTTAAAATACTGTTACGTTGTTCATTTGTTTGTTAATTCCCCTTAGAAATTATTTCCGAGAAACTTCAGCGATACAAGTCCTTTCTTAATTAAAACTACTTTATTCTTTCTAGTTACAAACTTTGTAATAGGCTTAATTTCCACAGTCAATTTAAACTTAACTATATTTATAAACACATGCTATAATTCACAGGGATTTACACACTCTTTACTTACGACTTGACTCGATTATCTCTATCATCAATATCTCTATCTATATCATTCCTGCTTTATTTGCCGGGCTTATATACTAAAAAAGAGGGCGCATGGAACAGACCAGAGTTGCCAGGACAATTAAAGATCCTTCGAGAATCTCATGTCGTGTTACCAGAGTCACGTAACTTCCGCTGTCGTAACACTGCCCCTACCTTAGTATTGTTCATCCCGAACAATAGCCACTTGCATTAAACCAATAGATAATTAACAATAACTTGATTGAATGTACAGAATTTACAAACAAAAAATTAAAATTCAACAAAGTCTCTTAATTTTACGGAATGTATCTTCTTCCGTTCTGGTCTCTGTCTCGTTGGCTTCTGCTTCACGTGGGGTTCATCTGCTTCAACAGGAAATGTCCTATTATCGGTAACAGTCACATCAGTGGTAGTAACCTCATTAAGAGCTTCATTGTTTCCCCTTCTCAAAACGGGGTAGAGTTTCTTCTTCGACAGTGGCTTTTTCAGGTGACACGTTTTCAGCAGCATCATTTGTTCCATTGTTCACTTTGTTCCAACTGAAATGTCCTGGACCATGGTAATGGTAACGCCAAAGCCTGTTGGCATGCGCCACCTTTGGCTTACCACATTTTATTCGGAAAGTCACGTCTGAGAGACGATCCACAATGTCATATGGGCCTTCCCATGGAGAAGACAACTAAGGAGAAACCCCTTTTGTCTTCCTAGGATTATACAACCACACCTTGTCTCCTGGTACAAAGCTGAGTTCAGTAGATCTCTTATCATAACATAGATTCATGGAATCAGCAGACGTTTCCAAGTTTGAATGCACTTGATGATGAATATCATCCATCCTTTCCAATAACACTTTCACAAACTCTGATAAATTTACAGACAACTCTTCATAAGGTGGGCGTCCTGTTATCAGATCCACTGGCAACCAAAGTTCCCGACCAAACATCAACTTTGCTGGAGTGTATTCAGTGGCTTCATGCTCTGCTGTTCTATAGGCCATCAACAGTGGAGGGAGTAAGACGTCCCAGTCATCTTGGCGGCTATTACAAAACTTTTCCAATTCCTGTCCAATTGTAGTTTTCTATCATCCCATCAGACTGTGGGTGAAGTAGCGTTGTCCTGGTCTTTCGTATGCCAAACAACTTGCAGCAATCATGAAACACAGCTGATTCAAAGTTACGGCCTTGATCTGAATGCAGTTCATATGGCATACCAGACCTGAAGAAGAAATCACTAATAGCCGAAGCTACAGTTGTAGCTTCCTGATTTGGAATTGCATATGCCTCAGGTCACTTGGTGAAATAATCCATCACCACATAAATGTAGCTGTTTCCAGCACGAGTTTGGGGCAAAGGACCAGCAATGTCAATGGCTACTCTCTCCATTGGTGTGCGAACTTGATATGACTTCATTGGAGCACATCCTTTATGCTTGGGTTCCCTTTTACTACAACATATACTGCATGTCCTGCACCATTCTTCCACATCTTGCCTCATACATATCCAGTAAAGTCTCTGTCATAGGTGACTCAATGTCTTCTTAACTCCAAGATGTCCTCCTGTTAAACTATCATGGGATTGACACAGCACAACTTCCCGTAACTTTCTCGGTATAACCGTTTGCCAGGTCGTCACTTTCCCACCTGCAGTTTCACATCTTTGGAGAAGAATACCATCTTCAAGCTTCAACTGATCCCATTGTGCCCAATAGTTCTTTGTCACAGGGCTTAAGCGAGACACCTTTTCCTTAGCAGGGTGCAAAACACTTGCTTTTAAAAAATCAATTATTGGCTTCAAATGTTGGTCTTTCTCCTGCTCTGCTTTAATATCTATACCTGGTTCCACTTCACCATCATCAACTCCTTCAGTCACTTTGACTTCAGCTTGATGACACCTGGAAAGTTAAACCTCTCTTTTGACACTTACCAGAATCTGGCCTTTGTTGTTTCCAAACGTCATTTTATCAAAGTTAACTACACACTTCCTCGGTAGTAAGTAGTCCAACCCTAATATGCATTGGTCTTCAATGTCAGCCAAGTATACTTTGTGTCTGTCCTTAATACCTATGAGCTCAATAGTCACCCATGCTGGTCCCCAGAACCTGGTATAATGTCCTGTCACACCACAGAGCTTCTGTATGGCTTCTGGTACTCCTTTGTGATCCAGCATCTTGATCCTCCCAAGGGTTTGCTGAGACGCAGAATCTATGACAAAGTTCCACCTTTGGCCATTCAACTTTCCTGTCATATAGACACTATGTGTGCTTGCCATTTTATACTTAGCTGTTGGGACTTTCACGATGGGGGTTGGTGGGCGTCCTTTAACACCAACCAATAGTGGTTTCTCGAAGCTGACTTAGTGGTAGTATTCTTCTTACACTGGCTCCTCATATGTCCTTGCTTTCCACAGTTCCAACAACCTTTCTGGGTAGCAGCCTTTCCCGCCATGG